TCTTGACACACTCGATTTTAAATCATCGCACGTCCAAGTAATCCATTGCTAAAAAACTTTTCAGCTAATCTGACCGTAGCTTTTGGCTGTTGTGGAATTGCTTTCTTCCCCAAATGCCGATCTGAAAAATCGGGTGACCGGAGCAAATCTAAAACAAACTAATAAATACAGTATCATCTTCAGGTAAAACTTATTGTTTAAAACGAAATTAAGAAATACATCATATTTTCTAATTACTTAATATCAGTTCAATAATTATTTGTTTAAACTTATTCGTCTCTCCAATATTATTGTTCATGCAACTGATTTAAATTTTAAAAAACTTTTTTTTTTTCAACTTAATAACTGATTTAGTAACTTTTTTTTAAAAAAAATTTTCCCTCTCAAAACTATATTAGAATGAACAATTAAATTGTTGTCGATCAACAAAATTGTAAGAATAAAAAAACAGGTTAATCTTATTTTTTAAAATTGGATACTCTAATTTTTTTTCCAGTAAACAATAAATTAATTTATATAATAAAATGTTAACTTAAAAATACTGGAATGTATTACCTGCTTCATCATTAAATCACAATAATTGTAGATTAACATGTATTGAAAATAGATAAGTATGATGCATTATATACCTTAAAATGATGCAATTTCATTTAATTGGTATTTAATACCTTAAAATGATGCAATTCCATTTAGGCGGGAAATTGATTGGTAAAAAATATTTTGCTATTATATAGAGTAAGATAAGATTATTATTATTATTATTATTATTATTATTATTATTATAATATATATATATATATATATATATATATATATATATATATATATATATATATATATATATATATATATATATATATATATATATAGGGAAGGGATCAGGTGCAGTTGTGCGGTTGGACGCACATTAAGCATTAACTGACGCACTTTAAGTACACAACACACGCACATTAAGCATACAAACAAAACACCTTCAGAACAAAAATTCAGGCACGTTAAGCACAAAATTCATGCATGTTAAGCACAAGCCTCACACATGTTAAACACAAGCCGCACGCATGTTAAGCACATGTCGCACGCACCTTAAGCACAAAACTCAAACACCTTTTAAGTTTCAACAACTACTCACATTAAGCACAAACCCACGCACGTTAAGCACAAAACTCACGCATGTTGCATTGACTTACGCATTTTAAGTACACAACACACGCACATTAAGCACACAAACAAAACACCTTCAGAACACAAACACATGCATGTTAAGAACAAAACTCATGCATGTTAGGCACAAGCCTCACGCATGTTAAGCACAAGCCGCACGTATGTTAAGCACATGCCGCACGCACCTTAAGCACAGAACTCATACACCTTTTAAGTTTCAACAACTACTCACATTAAGCACAAACCCATGCACGTTAAGCACAAAACTCACGCACCGTAAGCACAAATTCCACGCACTTAAGCACAAAACTCACTCACTTAAGTTTTCAACAACAACTCACATTAAGCACAAACCCACGCACATTAAGCACAACCCTCACGCATTTCAAGTACAAAACTGATGCACGTTAAAACCGCACAACTGCACGAAAAACACTTAAATGCACTGGAACTTAATTATATATATATATATATATATATATATATATATATATATATATATATATATATATATATATATATATATATATATATATATAGAGGGAATGGATCAGGTGCATTTGTGCCTTCCCGTGCGGATGTGCAGTGGATTAATGTGCGTGAGATTTGTACTCAATGTGCATGAGATTTGTACTTAATGTGCGTCATGTTAATATGCGTGAGTTTTTTACTTAATGTGCTTGAGTATTGTGTTTAATGTGCGTGAGATTTGTTCTTAATGTGCATGCGTATTTCAGAATTACGAGCTCAGAAGGAGAAGAACAGAAACTCACGCACATTAACGCCCAAGCTTCTTGTTACTTCTTCCTTCAATTTGGCCATGGATTCTGGATTATCAGTTACCTTCAGTGCAGTTGAATGTTTATATAAATGACGCACGCACAGTAAAATTTGCACAGCAGCTAACTGTGGATTTCTGTTGTATTTCCATAATTCTTAACCACCATAGCCCGCCTCCGCATCATTATCATCAAGGAGTGGGCAAATGGCTACTGGGGATGGGGAAGAAGCTGACATCAATATTTTCTGCTGCATTTTACACATTCACGCACATTAAGTACAAATCTCAGGCACATTAAGCACAACACTCACGCACATTGAGTATAAATCTCACGCACATTAATCCACCGCACATCCGCACGCGAAGCATTCAACCGCACGGGAACCTTTCACTATATATATATATATATATATATATATATATATATATATATATATATATATATATATATATATATATATGGAGGGCTTCAAGTGAGAACTCATGTTTAGGTAGGAACATAAGAACTAATCTAAGCCTTTAAATCTCATCCTATCAATGGTTTATATTAATTAATCATTAATAAGGAGACCATTACTATAAGTAATTTCAAGGGATACTAGGGTAATTTTCAGCACCCAACAACTAATAATTAATATTATATTTGAAATTATCCCAAGAATATAGGAAAAGTAGATGATTCAGGACTCTATTCTTTCTGCTATTCCGCGAACGACACCGCTGCGACGTGGACCTCTCCGACCAACGCCTGCGAATCTCTGCCTGACATGTGCATCGTCGGATTTAGGAGAGAAACGTAGCCCACAGGTCATCGCTTCTACTGAAGAACAATGGCAAGTGGCGAAAACCCAGGTAACATTAATATTTGTCCATATATAACTGTGCGTACGTATAATTGGAATTTATTTGAATACATCCATTCATGCTGCTGTGTGAAAGCGCCTACAATTTATTTGAATACATCCATCCATGTGTTTTGTTGACACTCTTGGTAGGGAATGTTCAACAAGAGTGGTCTGTACATATGGCTGCCATCATGTTATGATTCTGTCATTTTTGCTAATTGTCATGTACGTTACGGCACACACCAAATCACGCAAGTGCACAACATTGTCTTGTAACAATCTAGTTTACGTGAATTCATTGGGTCAGTATATTTGGTAGACAGTACGGCTCAAACAACACAATCTAAGTGCACATTCAAATGTTTTCCGTCTTGTTATACACACACTAATTCTGCATATTATGGCACACACTACGTTACGCAAGTGCACACCACCGCCTGTCATATCCACCAGGGTTGTGTGCACCTACGACTTAAGGTAAGTGCACGCACGGTAATCACGAGTATTGAGAGTGGGATGTGTGCATGTACACGTATACGAATGTGTACGCACAAATACCCTTGTGATAGGATGGGGTGTGCATTTATAGGTTGGGGCGTGCATTTAGGCTATAATGTAGGCACATACGGGGTAATGAATGTGCCACACAGGCCATAGGAACCCTGTGTACATGCACACATCCCATTCTCTGAAGTCATGATTTTCGTGTATGCACTTACGGGCTAATGAATGTGTCACACTGACCACAAAAATCCTGAGTGCGTGCACCTTGGTCCGGTTGTTTGTGCCACATTGCTTAACCATATACTAAGTAAATAATGAATTCAATGATTCACAGGTCATGACGGCTCATCAGGGAGTTCATGCGGGTGTTTGATGAATATTTCATCGGGACCAGCGAGGTACTAGACTTCAGAGCGTGAAGAGTCAATGAAGTCTTTGGTTGGGCAGCACTTCTCAAATTCAATAAATACATACATATATGTAGCTCATTCTTAATTAATATGTTTGTGAATGAATAAATGTGAAACAAATTGATTTAGCAGACTACGATGTGCACTTGGGTTATGCTGTGTGTGCCATAATGTGCAATGTTACTCAATATATGACAACATGTAAGACAATATGATGTGATAGACTGCGGTGTGCATTTCGATTAAATTGTATGTGCCATAATGTCCATAAATAATCTGTATATAAATATGTTTAATAATGAAATAAAATAAATAAAATGAATAAAGAAGGGGGAGAAAGGAGAGAAAAAAAAAATCAATTCAGATTTTGACTTTGCATCAATACGAGAATAAACGTGTACCTATTAGTTGTTAAGTGTTTGTACTTAAAATAAGAATTGTGTGCACATCGTGGATTTGATACTAAAAAAGCATAACACTATCAGTTTGTGCATGTATGCATTGCAATGTGTGCATGTGTGGGCCTAGCGTAAGGACTTGTTCGTACGCAAGTGTACATTTGTTTTTAACTGTGTGTGTTAGTAATATGAATAAATGTATTTATTTTATTATATAGTTTTGTATATGTGGTAGAGACTTAGTCTGATTAGATATAGCCTATAGAGTAGGAGTGTTGTGTATAGGACTCTGATTCTCTGTCTGAGTGGAATTGAATTGGTTCTCGCATTCCATAATCTAATCTGGTATCAGAAGCCGAAGGTTCGTTCCACTTTTCCTTCGTTCACCATACACTATCCCCGCATCCGATGGCATCTTCATCCAGCGAACGCACCATCACCACCGCCTCCAGTGGCTGTCAATTCCCTCACGGCGGCTCACCATTTCGTGTCCACACGACTCACAATGCGGAATTATCTCTTTTGGCGCACACAGTTAGTGTCTTTCCTCCGCGGCCAAGGCCTGTTAGGCTACATCGACGGTTGTATCCCGTGTCCTCTGGCGACCGTCGTCGTCTCCTCCACCGGCGACTCCAGTACAACGACAACAACAACCACGGCCAATCCGACCTATGAAGCATGGATCCAGCAGGATCAAGCGATACTCTCCACGATCGTCTCCTCCTTATCCGACGAGGTTATGCACCTCGGTTTCGGCAATGAGACATCTCGGGAGGTCTGGGAAGCGATCGCGGCGACATGCGCCTCCTCCACTTGCGCTCGCTGCCTGAGTCTCCTCAGGCAGTTTCAGACGCTTTGACAAGGCCCCGGATCTCCAGCTGAGTACCTGGGTAAGTGCCAGATGATCGCTGAAGCGTTGTCTCTCGCCGGCAGACCTCTTTCGCCGGACGAGCAAATCCTGTACGTTCTCCGGGGGCTCAGACCGGAGTTCCGTACGATGGCTTACTCCCTCACCGCGTCTGGCGCAACGGTCTCGCTCTCTCAGCTCTCTGATTTCCTCCAAGCGCAGGAATTCATCCACGAGGATGATTTCGCCGTTGCAGACACCGCGGTTGGCAGCAGCTCCCCGGCGGCGTTTTATGCTGGACGTGGTCGCCATGGCAATGATCACACGTCGGGGCGTCACTCCGGTGGTAGGGGTGGCCGGCAGAACAGGGGCAGAAACAATCAGGGCCGGCAAAGTAGAGGTGGCGGTTTGAGATGTCAGATATGTCGCGCGCATGGACACACGGCCGTGTACTGTTATAAACGGTATACTGAACGGCCGGCCGGTCACACCAACGTCGCGGTTTTCAGCGAGAATGCGGCAAACATGACGTCTGATGTGTGGTTTCCGGATACCGGGGCTACATCCCACGCAACTCCGGATGAACAGATGATAGGCCACTCTGAAGCTTACACTGGCGGAGACATTTTTAAAATCGGAAATGGTACAGGTTTGGGTGTTTCACGTATAGGCCATACCGTAATCCCATCTCGGTCAAAAAGTTTGTCAATGTCACAAATATTACATGTTCCTAATTTAACGTTACCATTATTGTCAGTTTATCGCTTTACTAACGACAACGATGTGTACTTTGAATTTCACAAAAATTTGTTTCTTGTGAAGGATTGCAACACTCGGGAGGTTCTTCTTAAGGGTTTCACATCCGGCGGCCTATACAAGTTATTGGTCCCATCATCTCCGTGTGCCTTTCTAACCGCTCGTGCATCTTCCGAGGTGTGGCATCAACGTCTAGGTCACCCCCACAATCAAGCTCTAAAACGCGCCTTAAAACACTGTCCCGTCACTACAAATAAAGCCAGTTTGTCAAAATTGTGGACCGCGTGTCAGCTCGGGAAGTCAGCTCGCTTTCCGTTAGATAGAGTTTCTAGCACTAGCAATAATATTTTAGACTTGTTATATACGGACATTTGGGGTCCGTCTCCTGTAATTAGTGCTACTGGCTACCGTTATTTCGTCTTATTTGTAGATGACCATTCGCGTTATTGCTGGTTTTACCCATTACGGTTAAAATTAGATATATATATATAATTTTTTATTTGTTCCGGGTGATGGTAGAACGACGGTTTTCGCGTTCTATCAAAGCCATACAGTCTGATTTAGGGGGTGAGTATCGTCGTCTTCATAAAGTGTTCGAAAATCTAGGCATTACACACAGACAATCGTGTGCCTATACCCATGAACAAAACGGGCGTGTTGAACGTCGGAATAGACATATAGTCGAAACCGGCTTAGCCCTTCTAGCCGAAAGCTCAACCCCACAAATTTACTGGGATTATGCTTTCGAAACAGCTACCTACTTAATCAACTGCCTATCATCCTCCGCTATAAACTACGAAAGTCCTCACTATCGTGTCTATAAAACACAACCTCCGTACACTTTCTTTCATGTTTTCGGGTGTCGCTGTTACCCATATCTTCGGCCTTACAATCGGCACAAGATAGAGTATCGGTCAACACCCTGTGTCTTCCTAGGTTACCCAGTCTCTTTTAGGGGATATCGGTGTATGGATCCTATCACGGGGAAGATCTTTATCTGCCGCCATGTTCGGTTTGATGAATCGATTTTCCCTTTTGCTCTACAGGCATCTAGTCAAACTCCTGTGAGTTCTACTACAACACCTTGGGGAGCCGGGCCAGTTTTAGTTGCCACTCAATCTACACCTCTAACCATGGAGTTACCTACGCCTCAAGAGACAGGTCCACCGGCCATAATTGCTCCACCAGAAACTTGTGTTGCCACGAGACCTCCAGCTATGTCTCGTAGGGGCCAGGGACGGGGCAAGCCTCATGTCCCACATACTATGCGTACTCGGCACAAAACACAAGGTCAGGATGAAGAGTTTTATGCTCTTACTGCGACCGCTGATCCGACCTGCTACTCCCAAGCTGTGGGTCATCCACAATGGCGAGATGCAATGGATCAAGAATTCAATGCCCTGTTGCATAACAACACCTGGGAGCTTATCCCGGCTACACCCAAAATGAACATCATCGGCTGCAAATGGGTCTTTCGCACCAAACGCAAAGCTGATGGTTCAATGGAGCGCTACAAAGCACGTTTAGTAGCCAAAGGGTTCAATCAGGTGGCGGGTGAAGATTTCTTTGACACCTTCAGTCCAGTAGTCAAGCCGACTACTGTCCGCATACTTTTTTCTCTTGCTGTTTCTAACAGGTGGACTCTACGGCAGCTGGATGTTCACAACGCCTTCTTGAATGGACACCTCGTTGAAACCGTGTATATGAAACAGCCACCAGGGTATGAGGACCCAGCTAGGCCAAATCATGTGTGTCATCTGCAACGGTCTCTGTACGGACTGAAACAAGCACCGCGTGCGTGGTTTAAACGACTCCATGATTTTTTGATCTCCACAGGGTTCTTGGCATCCAAAACAGATGTCTCACTTTTTCATTACACCTCTGGAGACTCACGGGTTTTCTTACTTGTCTACGTCGACGACATAATAATGATGGGGAATGATACGGGCTTGGTTACCAGCTTGCTCCGCCGTTTAGCCACAACTTTCAAGATTCGGGACTTAGGGACACCGAGCTTCTTCTTAGGGATTGAGACTCTCCCGGATGGGGATAGTCTACTTCTCTCTCAGCGCCGGTATATGCAGGATATACTATCTCGCTCTGGCATGACGGATTGCAAGGCATTGGCTACACCAGCTTCAGTTACCAAATCAGCAACTCCGTCCACTGATCCGTTTGAGAACCCTACACAGTACCGTCGCATTGTTGGGGCTTTGCAGTACCTCACCATTACTCGACCAGATCTTGCATACTCAGTTAACAGGTTGTGTCAGTTTATGCACTCTTCCACAGATGAGCATTGGAGTCTTCTTAAGAGGGTTCTTCGGTATGTCAAGGGGACTCAGGACTACGGTCTACGCCTTCGTCCGTCAGCTACTACTGATTTGCATGCCTACTCGGACTCCGACTGGGCTGGTTGTCCGATTGATCGGAAATCTACCAGTGGATATGCAGTCTTTCTTGGGGACAACCTGGTTTCTTGGGTTTCTCGCAAGCAGCGCACAGTGGCAAGATCGTCGACAAAACAGAGTACAAGGGCCTGGCAGATGTTGCGGCCAGGTCACTTGGGTTATCTCTTTGCTACGTGAACTTGGACTCCACACGGGCAAGCCAGCTACACTGTGGTGTGACAATCTGGGAGCCACATATTTAGCAGCTAATCCAGTTTTCCACGCTCGAACGAAGCATGTTGAGATCGATTACCACTTTGTTCGGGATAAAGTCACATCCGGGGAATTTATTGTCAATTTTGTTTCAACAAAGGAGCAGCTGGCTGATATCTTTACCAAACCACTACCAGGACCGCGTTTCCAGTTACTTCGAGGCAAGCTCAATGTTGTCACCCTCCAACCTTGTGCTTGAGGGGGTGTGTTAGTAATATGAATAAATGTATTTATTTTATTATATAGTTTTGTATATGTGGTAGAGACTTAGTTTGATTAGATATAGCCTATAGAGTAGGAGTGTTGTGTATAGGATTCTGATTCTCTGTCTGAGTGAAATTGAATTGGTTCTCGCATTCCATAATCTAATCGTGTGCCCTTGCGATAAGAAGGGTGTGCACATAAACCTGGACAGTGTGCACTTGGGTTGAATTGTGTGTGTCAAAATGTTCAATAATCATGACAAAATCAATTCACGGAAAAGAGCTTGATGTGCACTTGGGCTGAACTGTATGTGTCGTAATGTGCAATAATACTGACAGAACGGATCCACGAAAACCATCTTGATGTTATAGACTACAGTGTGCACTCGGGTTAAACTGTAAGTGACATGATGTGAAAAACGAGTGTGTATGAAAAGACATAGAAGAAGTATATATGTGTGCACTTGGGTTGAACTGTGTGTGCCATATTGTACAGTAATACTAGAGACGGTAAATATGTTACTAGAGAACATAATCGATATGTAACAAATTGTATTGCTAAGTGTTTCAGTACAAGAATCAGAATGTGTCCCCCTGCTTAACTAAGAATCTCCTACTTATACTACCCTGCTAACGGTAAGTAACTGTTATATCATAATGAGGTGCCGAACACTTTATTTCTCTTAAACCCTGTCTTAAATAAGCGATAGTAAATGACCCCCTAGTAAATGATTATGCCCGTTGGACTTCTAGGTAGTTTCGAGTTAGGTGCTTGTTGGTGGCCCGGGTCGGGTGCTTGTCCTATTACTCTGTCACATCATAAATAGAATACATAAATGAGCCTAAATGTGAACTAAGCAAAAGTATTGATCAACCTGCTCAAATGAGCACACATAGCTAGCAAAGCCTAGCATTGTTCAACAACGTCACGGTATTCAACTGCACTACGGATGTTCTTCGAATGGTGTATGTTAAACTCGATCAACCAAAAAAATCTGACGCATATAAGTCATCAACTTTGTTACGTGCATCACGCCAATGCTTCTGCATTCTTCTAGGAACAAGCTTCAATTCCGTACGACAGCCCCACACCGATCATCAACCACATCATCAAGGACCACACACCATAAATATTTCTGACAATGGGCGAACAACGATGGAAAACATTAGAAATTGGCAAACAACAAAATCAAACACAAACGTAAGGGAAAAGACAAAAAACAACTTGTTGTGCACATAGGCAGCACTGTGTGTGCCATAATGTGCAATAATAATGTTAGTATGTATAATCAATAACCAGGTCGATTTGATAGACTAGGGTGTGCACTTAGGCTTGAGTGTGAGTGTCGTACTATGCAGAATTAATGTGTATGAAAAATGTAAAACAAGCTGATGTGCATTTGAGTTGAACTGTGTGTGTCACAATGTAGAATAAATACTGTCAGTAAGAATACACAATGGCCACAGACAAAATCAAACACAAATGGTAATGATTTGATAGACTAAACACATACAATATATGCACACACAAATGTGTGTACATGCACAAAGAAACACTTTTATGAGAAATACTAGCACAGAAAAAAATTAAACACCCACCCAAAATACACACGCATCCAAACCTATGCACACGACCAACATAGAATATATGCACACTCCACATTGAATATACGCACGCAATAAAGAATAATGTGTATGAATATAACACACCATAAAGAATAATTGCACACACCAAAACCCACAAACCTAATATGCATACACATTCCAACTAATATGCACACTACAAAATCTTATTATCTCTTGAAATAAATAAATAAATAACCAAAACAAACATGACCAGAATGAGTAATATTTACAACCAAATCTTATTCTCTCTAAGGTTTGCCACTTGGTTTCCTCGCCGTTTTCCCTAAAATTAGCCACATTGAAATTGGTTTTTAATGGATATTAGCTATATTCAATTCGCCGGGACGTACCAAATGATTTAAAAGATTGTAGACAATTGTTGTCGTCGTGGTGGAGCAGATCGACAAAACACAGGCGTGGAGGTGATGGATCAATGGTTTCTTTCGTAGATGCAAAGGAAGTGTGGGAACTAAGGAGAAGATCTCGCAATTTTCATAATTCACTATGCACTAAAATACCCTTAATACCCTCCAACTATCTAAAATAAATAAAAATCAACCCTAAAATCTTATAAAAATATGTTTTAATCTAAACCATTGATCACCCTAAATAAATGGCTATGATGAGTTCCTATGTTCCTACCTAAGGATGAGTTCTTATATGATTGTTAATATATATATATATATATATATATATATATATATATATATATATATATATATACTTGTTCTTTTACGCGCTTTTCGCGAATGGAATAATACCCAATAATTATTTTTAAATAAGTATTTCAAAGTATATCAATGCAATATTATATCGGAGATGTTCATGTATAGGTAAATAAATATTGAATTTGTTTATTTAAGTCGGTAATTTAAAGTATATAAATGCAAGATAATATATGAGAGATTGATTATATTGTCACTAATATAAAATAAATGTTTGCAACTTTGTAATAACGCTAGTCTAAAAATGATAGTCTA